AAATGGCGGCAGAGGGCCGCGGCCTGCTTGCGTTGCTATGGAAACGGAGCCTGAGGCCTACTGGTGGCAGTGTGGAAATGAAGCCCGAGGCCTGTTCCCGTTGCCATGGTAACAAAGCCTGAGGCCTGCTCGTTACCACGGAAACAAAGCCTGCACCTTCTCCTGTCACCATGGAAACGCAGCCTAAGGCCTACTCCAGTCTCCATAGCAACACAGCCTGCGGCCTGCACCAGTCGCCATGGCAACGAAGCCTGCGGCCTGCTCCAGCCGCCCTACGGCAGTGCAAAGCGCCAATAAAACCCGAAGTCCATTAAGAGCTCGGAGAGTGGCGATTCTTTTGCGAAAGAATGTTTTAATTTTTCACAAGGGCTTTCTTACGGGGTGGGGGTTGAGCGGCGCGGCATTACGGTTGGGCGGGGGGGGGGCGGAAGTGCGGTTAAGAGAGGGCGGGGCTATGTGGGGAGAGCGCATGCGCAGAGCGGCGCGGCGCAGGAAACCGGAAGTGGGATCGTAGAGGCGGCCGGAAGTGGGAACGTAGCGGCGCCGGAAGTGGGAATATGGCGGCCGCGCTGGAGCGATGGGTGGCGGGGGAGCTGCAAGAGCTGCTGGGGATGAGCGGCCGCCACGTCCCTGCTTTCCTGGTAGCTCTGGCGCGGCGGAGCCGGAGCGTAGAGGAGCTGCTGGAGCGGCTGAGGGAGACGGAGGCGCTGCGGGTGGAGGAGCCGCGCGTCAGGGAGTTCGCGAGGGAGCTGTGGGGGAAGGTGTGTGAGCCAGGCTCCGGGGAGGGGGGAGGAGCTTCCGGTGGGAGGGCGGGACTTGGTGAAATGGGTTTCCGGTTTGGGTGTGTGGGGCTTCCGGTTTGGGTGTGTGGGGCTTCCGGTTGGGGTGAGTGGAGCTTCCGGTGGGAATGGGAGGAGATTGGGAGGCAGGGCTTATCGTGTGGGGGTGGGGCTTAAAGAGGAGGCTGCTTTTGTGATTGACGGGAGGGAGATGACAGACAGGGGGCGTGGCCTATAGGAAGACAAGCATGGCCTT